CCTTGAACCCTGAACCCGAAACCCTAAACCCTAAACCCTAAACCCTAAACCCTAAACCCCTCATCCCCGGTCCCCAAACCCTGAACCCGACACCCCGGTCCCCAAACCCTGAACCCGACACCCTGAACCCCCAGACCCTAAACCCTAAACCCCAATGTCAAGCAACAAAACACAGGAAGCCCTAAACCCCAAACCCTAAACCCTAAACCCTAAACCCCAAACCCTAAACCCTAAACCCTAAACCCTAAACCCTGAACCCGAAACCCCGAAACCCTAAACTCCTAAACTCCTAAACCCCTGAACCCCAGACCCCAAAGAGTGGTGGCCTGCTCGAGCTGCCGGGCCATGGCTTCGTGTCACAGCGAAGAGTGGGAAAACTCTCAGAGCACAGCACCGATACTTTCTTACTCAGAGCTTTTGAGCCGGCGGAGAGTTGGGAAGTTGGGCATAAGGCTTTGGCTTTTGGCTTTCAGGTTTAGGGCTTGGGGGCTTTTGGGGGCTTTGGGGTGCCAGGAGTTTAGGGCTTAGGGTTTAGGGTTTAGGGTTTAGGGTTTAGGGTTTAGGGGTTGTTCCACAGAATGACTTAAGACCTGTCTGCGATATCGAAGAAACTTCTATAGATGTAATCGCAAGAAACGTTCCAAAGAGGTCTGGCGGTCGAGGACGAAGGGTATGGCCTCGGGGATGCCACTTGAAAGTGAAAACAGGAATACACGAAAATGCACGCCACCAGGGCATGATGTTCTGTAGAGTTTAGGAGTTTAGGGTCTTTGTGGGCTCCTTTTTATGCCCGCCCATCCATCTGAGTAAGCATAAGGCCATTGGCCGGGAGATGTCGAGGGCGTACGCCTCGCACGCTGACACACAGTTGCCACCCTGCTCGAGCTTGTCAGGACTATCTGAATCTCCATTGCCACACGTCAACCCAACATGATCATATGATTGCCCTCATCGCCCTAGTCGTTCGGGCCCTTAAGGTTTTAGGGATTAGGGCTGAGGGTTTGGGGTTAAGGGTTTAGGGTTTAGGGCTACGGGTGTGGGTTAAGGGTTAAGGGTTTAGGGAATTTCTTACTCAGCGCTGCGGAGCCGGCGGAGTGTAGGGCTCTTGGGTTAGGACTTGTGGTCTCGGGGTCAGGGTTTCTAGAGTTCAGGGTTCAGGGGTTTAGAGCTTTTCAGCCGGCGGAGTCTTGGGAAGTTGGGCATAGGACTTAGGCCTTTGAAGCTTTTGGCTTTGAAGTTTAGGTCTTGGGGGCTTTTGGGGGGTTCCGGGTCGTCAAGCTCGCGGATATGGAGTTGACAGCAGAGGATTTGGATTGGGGTTTTGGATTCAAGATCCGACAGCCTTAGCTTCCCTCGCATCCGACTGCCCAGAATCCTCGCCCCAAACCTCAAACTCTAAACCCTAAACCCCTGAACCCCTAAACCCCTAAACCCTAAACCCCTAAACCCCTAAACCCCTAAACCCTAAACCCCAAACCTCAATTCTTGTTGTCGAAAGGCCCGGACTGCCGCAAGAAACCCTGAGCCCTGTCAGCAGAGCTCCGGGTTTCTGGGGTTCTCAGCGCTCACCTTATAGAATCTGTAATATAGAATTGGTTAAACCAAAAAAGGAACTACAATGGAGACTATAGGTAAGGCCCATACATTCCTGAAGCTCGGAGGTGTGTGACACGAAGTCTGTTAGGGCACCGGCTTAGGGCTCAGGGCTTTGGGGCATTTGGGGCTCTGGGGCTTAAGCCTTAGAGTGTAGGGTTTAGTAGGGTTTAGGGTTTAGGGATTTAGGGTTTAGGGTTTAGGGTTTAGGGCTTAGGGACATAACAGACGAAACCCCTAAACCCTAAATGTACATAAGCTCTCTCGGGTGGCACGGCCGTCGCATCACACGATGCACAAAGTGAATTACGAAGCCCAGGTTGCTGCGAAGAGTCGGACGGTTGAGGGATACATCATAAGTTTTGCTGGGTTTGAAAGTGGAAGCAGGAATACACGAAAATGCGAGCCACCGGGGCGTGATGTTCTGTAGAGTTGAGGGCTTTTTCAGCTCCTTTGTTTACGACCGCCCATCCATCTGAGTAAGGATAGGGCCAATTGGCCGGGAGATGTCGAGGGCTTACGCCTCGCACACTAACACACCCCTCAGTTGCCACCCTGCTCGAGCTTGTCAGGACTATCTCCACTGCCGCACGTCCCAAACATCATCGTATGATTGCCCTCCTCATCGCCCCAGTCGTTCAGGCCCTTTGGGGTTGGGGCCCTTAGGGGTTGGGGATTGTAGGCTTAAGGGTTCGGGGTTAAGGGTTAAGGGCTTATGGGTTTAGGGAATTTCATACTCAGAGCTTTTGAGCCGGCGGAGGGTAGGGCTCTTGGCGTAGTTAGTAGGACTTGGGGTTTCGGGGTCAGGGTTGATGGAGTTCAGGGTTTAGGGGTTTAGAGCTGTTGAGCCGGCGGAGTCTTGGGAAGTTGGACAAGGGGCTGAGGCGATCGAAGTTTTCGGCTTTTTGGGGGCTTCAGGGTGCCAAGCTCTAGGGATATCATCCAAAAACCGGAAACCCTCAACCCTACCTTGCGGGTGGCACGGCCGTCGCCTCACACAATGCACAAAGAGTCGGACGGTTTAGAGATACATCATCCATTTTGCTGGGATTGAAAGACTATGCCCCCCAAAACCCCTCTGCCCCACCGGGGGGGACGGCCACATCCTGGTACTTCTGGTCTGGCTGCGATGGGCGACGAGTGCAACTGGGAGCTCGAAATCTACCCTCGACCCCGACCTAAACCTCAAGAAGTATATCATAATGTCATACCATCACAGTACGTAGAGGCTTGATACTACTACCGGAGCCACCGCACATGGTACATATGTTCCTCGATTGAACGGGCAGAACAGTCCCTTTCTCGCTTCCGCCTCGCACTAGACAACGTTGTCTGAAGAAGCCGCAGGATGCAGAATGACTCGCCACAAACGTCACGAATTCGGGAGAGAGGAGCTGGCCTAAAAACGGGCTTAGGGTTTTAGAAGGCGAGAGCGATGCGGAAGCGGGAGGTGCTGAGATTCTTGGCCGCAGTCTGGGCCGGTTGCTCGGCACAGGGCCCATGCTTCCTCGAGAGCATGGAAGCTGCAATCGGATTGTCAACCGGACCAACTATCCAGAGCTTCTGGAGTGAAACTTCCTCTGGGCCCAGGGAGAAACCGTGCATAACCCTAAACCCTAAACCCTAAACCCTAAATGAGAGAATAACCTGCTGGGTCTGCCCCAAGATAAGATGGGAGCCTGAATACTTAGACACCGGTTTAAGAAAATGAGATTACATGGCTCAGCTCTGGTCTACGTTGCACTATGCGATACATATACTCAGATACTGATATACTAGTACAAGTAGAATAGTACTATAATAAGATCGCGGCCTGAATACTGAGACAGTGGTTGAAGAAGTTGACATTACATGGTTCAGTATTGGTCTACGGCTTCTGGGTACTTCATTATATACAATACCTATACTGATATACTGATACACTAGAGCTTCTGGCACTTCATTATAATAACCCTTATAGATTTATACTGAGATAGTAGATTCATGCCCTGGCGGCCACTATCGGTGCATCGTTGAACGGAGAAAGGAAACCAACGAGCCTGTTCTTTTATATTACTCCCTGTGCTCCGCAGCAACTCTATCCTAAGTAAACACGCTCGGACTTCACGGCATCTGCAAGCGCCTGTCAGGGAGGAAAAAGCGGGGTCCACATTGCAAGCTGCAAACATCCGTGGGCACCGCCTGGCCTTGGCACCCTCGTCTCCGATGTTGTTGTCATAGAGGCTGATGAGGGCGACGGTACTGTTGGACGTCAGCGCATCTGCGAGTGCCTCTCAGGGGAACGCGGGGTCGAACTTGCAAGCTGCAAAGACCCCCGTGGGAGCGCCGCCTGGCCTCGGCCCCCGCATCTCCGATGTAGTTTCGAGCGAGGTTGCTGTGCGTGACGGTACTGTTGGAGGTCAGCATATCTGCGAGGGCCTCTCAGCGGAGCAAAGGGTCGACATTGCAAGCTGCAAAGACCCCGCGGGAGCACCGCCTGGCCTCGGCCCCCGCGGCTCCGATCTTGTTGTAATCGAGGTGGATGGCGGTGACAGTACGGTTGGACTTCAGGGCGTCTGCCAGTGCCTCTCAGGAGCAAAGCCTGGTCGAACTTGCAAGCTGTAAAGACCCCGCAGGAGCACCGCCTGGCCTTGGCCCCCGCGTCTCCGATCTCGTTGTCATGGAGGTTGATGGCGGTGACGGTATTGTTGGACTTCAGCATATCTGCGAGTGCCTCTCAGGCGAAACTCGGGATCGAAATTGCAAGCTGCAAAGACCCCGCGGGAGCACCGCCTGGCCTTGGCCCCCGCGGCTCCGATCTTGCTGAAAGCGAGGTCGATGTGCGTGACACCACAGTTGGACTTCAGGGCGTCTGCCAGTGCCTCTCAAGGAAAGGCGGGGCCGGGCTCATCGTCTCCGGCATGCCTAAATCGAAGTTGATGTAGGTCCAACTGCCACTTTGTACATCCGAAACCTTCAGAACATCTGAGCGTCTGCAAGAGCCTCGCAGAGACAACTGGGACGGGACTCAAGCCACAAAGACCTTAAATCTCGATTTTGGTGAATGTGCGGCCGATCGTCAAGTGCGAGCATACCGGGGTCTAAGACTGCAATGTCCCTATGGGCACCACGCCTGGTAGTCCTCGGCCGGGACGTCCGCGTGTCGAAGGTTTAGACGGGTGGTGCCGCTGTTCTCCGTCAGCTGCGACGCCAGGCCCTGGCACGGGAACTACTGCACATCCAGGCATGTCGGTCTCTGCCCCGAGAACGGCACAGCAGTCCTTGATGCGCACTTTCCCCGTCCAAGCCTGGGCGGAGCTCCACCAAGCATGGTTGGGGAAGGCTCCGTTGGGTCTCTGACAGTGCAGTCCTGCCCCGGCCCCCCCTCCCCCCTCCCCCGACAGACCGCCGTCTCATCTCACGGCGGGACTCTGCCCCGTTCACGGATATTTTAGCCATCCTCCGGCAGGCAGGAGCTGCTCTCCTCTCCAAAAAGAACCAAGACCTTGCAATCAGCCATGGACGTGAGTGCATAGCTTGCAGCATCTTGCAGCGTGCAACCACGGATTCGGGTCACTACTCCCTCGAACATCAGCTGCTCTTCTCTGCCTAGGCAAAGC